TGATGGCGGAGCGCTGGAACGGGAAACGACGGCCGAGCTCGTCTTTGCGCGCTTGGCAGGGTGCTAGTGCGACTGCATCATCGTTTTGAGGAAAAAGATCCTTGGAGTGCTGCGCGCCATTGAAGGGCCTTTTGCCCTTTGTGTTCTTCGACAGGGCGTCGTCCAAGGTGTATTACGGGCGCGACCGCCTGGGACGGCGATCTCTTCTTCAGCGACGGGATGCAGGGATGGTTCTGGCCAGTATTGCAGGCGACACAGATCCCAGCTGGTCCGAAGTCGAGGCCGATGGTATCTACGTGTTCGATTTGCAGTTATGGGCCGAGGGTCGGGACGTGGCAGGATCAATCTCTCGCCATCCCTGGTCCAGCAGCTCAGAGAAAGACTTGGTGAGTCGCGACCTCTATGTTGCATCGGCTTCCTGCTACTTACTGGCGTAGGTACTCGACATTGGCGTTTTCAACACGGCTCTACCCTATGGTGAGCCGTCTCCGTTGGTCCCTGGATCCGCAGCTGTGCAGATGCTCCGCCAGCAGCTTGCAGACTCACTGGCACTGCGTGTTCTGGGCATACCAAACCCATCCCAATCGGGGACAGAACCTGCTATCACGGATGATACGAGGGTCTCTGTGCTATTCTCCGGTGGCTTGGACTGCACGGTCCTTGCGCGCCTTGCGAGTGACTTACTCCCGCCCGATCAGGGTATCGACCTCTTGAATGTTGCATTCGAGAACCCTCGTGTGGCCGGTACGCGGCGCAAGGACGCCATCGAAAGTATATACGAGATCTGCCCTGATCGGGTCACGGGCAGAAAGTCTTTCGCCGAGCTCGTCCAGGTGTGTCCGGCAAGGAGGTGGAAATTTGTGGCGGTACGTCATGTCTTTTTAACTTAATCGACACCCTTGCATGCATCAGAACTGACGGCAGGCTGGAGGTTAATGTCCCCTACACCGAGACTCTCGCTCACAGGAGCCAAGTCGTATCTCTGATGTACCCGCACAGGACGGAGATGGACATTTCAATATCTTTCGCTCTCTACTTCGCAGCGCGCGGCGTCGGCGAAGCTCAGGCCACGCCTTCCAGCGAGCCAGTGCCTTACGCCACACCCGCCAGGGTGCTGCTGTCGGGCCTCGGCGCGGACGAGTTGTTCGGTGGCTATTCCCGACATGCCGTTGCCTTTGAGCGAGGAGGCTACCAGGCTCTGGTTGACGAGCTGAAGCTCGACGTTGGACGCCTCGGCGAGCGCAATTTGGGCCGCGACGACAGGATCATGGCACATTGGGGTCGCGAGGTCCGATTTCCATTCCTAGACGAACGACTTGTCAAGTGGGCTGTCGAGACTCCAGCATGGGGCAAGTGTGACTTTAATCACCCACAGACCGAGACTATGGTTGAGCCTGCCAAGCGGGTGCTCAGGCTTCTGGCCGAGGAGTTGGGCATGCGGTCCGTGGCACGGGAAAAGAAGCGGGCGGTATGTTTCCTCTTCGTCTGATGTGCAACGTCTGATGTTGCCCCGAAATACAACAACGGCGCAGGCTAACATGGGTGGTCCACGGCAGATTCAATTCGGAGCGAAAACGGCCAAGATGGTCAGTGGGCAGTCCAAGGGCACCGACCTCATCCTGGAGTTTGCTTCTTGAGCATGACGACACGAGCATTAAGGGCTTTGCAAGTGCAGCCTCTCGGAATGATTCGTACCAAGGGACTGGCTGTGATGACCAACAGATACTTCCGAGTCGGTTTGGCTGACAGGGACGTTTCCATGTCGGCAGTTGCGTGTTTCTGTTCGCTCAGTAACCCTTCTCCGTTCTTGGTTCGTTTGTGTTTTGAGACCGCCGACCATGAAGACGTAAAGGCAAGTCTGAGCCAGACCCCCGACGCGGATGCTGAGATTCCGAGGCGCGTTTCTTTCACCGTTACCATGGCAAGCCGCAGTACCTTGCCAGGCTTGCCCAGCTGAAGTGGGATGCGGCTGGGCTTCCTGTGGCTCATCTTACGCAAATTTCTCCGGGAGCCGAGCAGTTCGCGAATGAAAAGACGCCCTGGCCCGGCGACGACGACGAGATGAGAACGGGGGCAATGGGCCAGCTGGGGTGAGGAGGTTGTGTCAAGGGACTGGACGTGTCGCAGGTTGACGATCACGTCAGGCGTGGGCCGTTGCAGCAGCATGGGTGTCTGGGGGTACGACGCGACGACGCCCACTA